AAAAAAAAATAGCTGAGCATTGTGGCAGGGGCCTATAATCCCAGCTACTTGGGAGGCTGAGGCAAGAGAATCACTTAAGCTCAAGAGTTTGAGGTTGCTGTGAGCTGTGATGCCATAGCACTCTACTGAGGGCAACATAGTGAGACTCTGTCTCAAAAAAATAAATAAATAAAGAGTCTACATGTGTAAATGGCCTCCTTATAGTAAATACTCAGTATGTTAGGTATTATTATTATAAAAAAACTAAAATTTTGGGAGATTAGCAAGTTTAATATAAATCGCTGAATCATAGAAAAGCACAAAGAAAATATACTTATCAAACCATTGAAGAGAATAAAATTATTTAAGCTTAGAAACGACAGAAGAAATCACTGGAAAATTATTTGAGTTGATTGCATAAAAATTAAATTTTTTGTATGTTACAAATGTACTAAAAAGGAAACCAACAGAATGTGAAAAATATTTGCAGCATATGGAAATAATAAACAACTTGTTTATTATTAGCTAAGCTAAAATCTTCTATTCTTTTAGGTTAGCGAGAAGAGAATATAAATCAAAGTTTCTCAAGTAAAAACAAAACAAGACCAGGCATTACTCATACCTGTACTCCTAACACTGGGAGGCCAAGGCAGGAGGATCACTTAAAGCCAGGAGTTCAAGACAAGCCTGTGCAACATAGGAGACTCTCATCTCTCCAAAAGTATCAAAAACTCAGCCAGGCATGGTGGCATTGGTGGCATTCCCTGTAGTCTCAGCTACTTGGGAGGCTGAGGCGAGAGGATTGTTTTAGCCTAGAGTTTGAAGTTGCTATAAGCTATGCTTATGCCAATGTATTCTATCCTAGGCAGCAGAATGAGACCCTGTCTCAGAAAACAAAACAAACCAAAAAAGTAAATATATAAGAAAAAAAAATTTTTTATCAGCAGTTAAAAGTATAAATCAATAAAAGAGAAAATTGTATGCTACTAAATTAGCAAATGTATTTAAATTACAATATCTAGTGCTTGTGAGTATGTAGTGACTCTAGTATTTTAATACATTGCTGATGGCAGTATAAATTGATATTATCCTTTGCATTAAAAGAATAAACATGTGCTTTCCCTACCATGACCGAGTGCCGCAGAGGCAGAAGCTTGGGTGAGTTCAAGATTCAGCTTTACCCATAACCCACTGCCATGGCCGTAGAAGGCATTGCTGCTGGAGATATAATGGGCATTAACACTGCTTTTATACAAGGTGCTGAAGACTGTCCTTATCTATGATGTCCTTGCACATGGAATCAGTGAAGCTGCCAAAGCCTTAGACAAGTGCTAAGCCCATCTTTGTGTGCTTGCATCCAACTGTGATGAGCCTGTATATGTCAAATCGGTGGAGGCCCTTTGTGCTTAACACCAAATCAACCTATTTAAGGTTGATGATAAGAAACTAGGGGAATGGGTAAGCCTTTGTAAAACTGAGAGAGAGGAAACCCCATAAAGTGGTTGGTTGCAGGTGTATAGTAGTAGTTAAGGACTATGGCAAAGAATCTCAGGCCAAGGATGTCATTAAAGAGTACTTCAAATGCAAGAAATGAATAAATAAAACTTTGGCTCAAAAAAATAAAAGTATAAATATAGATTCTTAGTCTACAATTTAGTACTTCCAATTCCAAGAATCTACTCAAAGGAAAGAATTCATACTGTAAAAAATCTCTATGCACAAAATTTTTATGACATCTATAATATTAAGAAGCTATTAGGAACTGGTTCTAAATGATGAGTAAATTATATCGTTGATGAAATCTTACACAGTGATTAAAAATGATAGTTATAAAAATCGAAGAACAGTTTCAAAGTTGTGACAAAATATAGTTTTTTAAACTCAAAGAATTTGTAAATCAAGAAGAAAATGACAACCCAATTAAAAAATAGACAAAGAACATAAAACAGAAAAACAAATGGTCAGTTGTCCTATAAAACAATGCTAAGTCTCATTAGTCATTAAAGAAACATTAGGCCCACTGTGATGTGGGAAGAGGAGGTCCAGGAGCAGCAGCCATTCTCTTACCAACAGAGACTAACAGCAGCAGTTCACTACACTGTTGGTTGTCTTTGTGAGGAAGTTGCAGCACACAAAAAGATGCAGTTCAGCGAACAGACCATTGCATCAATTTCAGTGATGACTTCTGACAGCGTGAAAATTTCGCCAAAGACCTTGAAACTACTAAAGTCACTGCTAAAATATACACAGAGAAAAATGAAGAGATTGCTCAGATTAAACTAGAATGACAGGCAAAGAAGAAAAAGAAGTTAAAGGATGAGAACAAAAATTTATTTAAAGGCCTAGCTCTGTGGCTTACACCTGTATTCCTAGCACTCTGGGAGGCCCAGGCAGGTGGATTGCTTGAGCTCAGGAATTTGAGACTACCCTGAGCAAGAGTGAGACTCTATCTCTACTAAAAATAGAAAAACTAGCAGGGCGTTGTCGCAGACGCCTGTAGACCCAGCTACTCAGGAGGCTGAGGCAAAAGGATTACTTAAGTCCAGGAGTTTGAGGTCACTTTTAGCTATGTTGCCATGGCACTCTACCCAGACAACAAAGTGAGAATTTGTCTCATAAAAAAA